ACATATGAATTGAGTGGTATGCATGTAAATCTTCCAAAATAATTATTAGAAAAAATTTTGAAATAAATAATAAGTAATCTTAGAATTCCTAGTTGCTCTTAAAAAAGGAATAACTTCTACAAAAAGATGTTCATACCGCACCGAAAAGAAAATAGAGATTTATATATGACGCCAATCTAGACCAACATTCTAGAGGAATAATGCAATGAAAAAAAGATTTTTTTCCGTTGATTTCCTACATGAAGCACCAACATTTATAACCATCTTTGTGTTTTCCATTTGTCCTCCCTACTTACATCCGCTTTTATCTGTAACTTTCACATATATCACAGATCCAAATGATTAAAGCTCCTACAAAAATGCATGCTTCTTCTCTAAATCCTCTAAAGTAGGTATCAAAAGAAAATAACTTATCCATGCACAATACTTGATGCCCATGATCTTGAAAATAATATGCCATTGCTTTATTCCTGAGCTTCACCCATAAAGGATAAATAGGATTGCTTCATAGATTATTGTCATCTTTCAACAATAGAATTCCAATTGGGAAAAATATACTATTGTATTTTATAACAGTAGTTTGATTATAGTTCACTGATACATCATCAATACTATGTTAATTTGTGTATAATTTATTTTCCAATGAATTCCACTAGATATTTTTAGTTTGATTAGGCCAGGTTGCTCAAATTTGCATGAAATACGCTAGGTTATTTCATTCATGCTAAGAGACAAAGCCATGACATTTGAAAATATTACATCTTCAAAGAATACATCTAGAACGCAACATCCTATTCCAATGGAACTTAATCCTCCTAATTAAACAAAAGATATAACTATGTACACCGCGAATTTGTGCCAAGATATTGAAATAAGCAACTCCACCTGACAATGCCAAAAAGATAAGGTAATTTCCATTATTGTCATGTCCAACACAAAAACACCACTCCATCGTGCTGTAAAGACATGTTAAAAAACCAAAGAGATAGCATTCATGCCTTTATAATTATCCAAACACTCGAATGCACGAAATATTGAGAATAACAATACTATTATATTTTTCAAAGATCCATTCTTGTAATATCACACAAGAAACTCAGAAAGATTCCAAATCCTCTAGATGTGCTGTTCTGAGAAATCTATCTATATACATACATATATATGTGTGTGTGTGTGCGCGCGCGAAAATATTGAAGCTCCAATATCAAGCATAAAAAAAATACAATACTGCTTAACTTCTACAACAATCCTTTTCTCCAACTTCCGGAGGATCCAACCAAATTCAACTTACTTCACATTAAGATTAGTTATTAAGTGTGTGAAACTTCATGCATCTGCTAAGATTGTCACGCCAAATAAATTAATAAATAAATACAAACAGAACATGACATGAATGCGGCCCTTCATACCAAAACATATAATCCCAATTGGCACCTGGAAGTACTAATCCGCTAATCGAAGAAGCGTCAAAACATACTTAATCCTTTAAGGTCCCCAAAAAAATAAAAGAAAAAAACAGGATCTGACTTCCTATTTGAAGAGAAGTAACATGTTTATTCAAATGACGATAACAAATCATTGGTGGGAGAATGGAAATGCCATAAAGCAATACCAAAACTTGCCACAGTACAAGAAACTACAAGCATAATAATAGTCTTATCAGTTATTTCTTTGATCGCCAAAAACCAGAATAACGCATGAGGTTGCTTAAAGTGAGCTTGATCCAAGCTCCATACACTCCCATAAGCGTAAACACATAATAAGAGAACCACTCCTAATGTAAGAAGAATGCCATAATAAACCATCACTCTCCAGCAGAATGATTAGGGAAGCGCCAAAAATTAGGAACAATAATTTAAACAATTAGCATTACGATCAGATTTGCACCACCATTAAAGAAACAAACGCAAAAAAACAGTGGCAAAATGAATAGGAATAGCATCGGAGAAGAAATGGATACGCGGAGTATAAACTAGAAGATACAGATATTATAATAGAGGACGTGAAAGGCAGCGGTGGATCTACCTGAAGAAGGCTGGTGGCATAGCTGATGTAGTTGCGAATGAGGCCCTGGGTGGTGATCCGGATCTCGTTCTCGTTAATGGCGGATTCGGGCCTCGGCTTCTCGACTCTCTGGTAACGGTCCATGGTAACAGAGCGCTAGGTCTTCGATTTAAGGGAATCGATGGTTGTGAAGCTTGATTGGAAGAGGGGTATAGCCCAGGAGGACGAGGCCGCTCTAAAACCCTAAATGGGAGAGGAAGCCAAGCCGTGAAAGTATGCGCTAAAACCTCAGCGACTAATATAAAACGATTTCCCTCTTATATATGGATTGGAATTTGGAGTTCTCAGACAAAAGCACCAGAAATATTGATATTTACAAATCTATCACCTAAATTCGTAAATTTTATTTATAGGTATGCATATAAATATCATTAGCTAAACATTAGGGATAATTTTAAATATCAAGGCATATAAATTAGCCGGAACGGAGCAAATATAAATAAATTTAAATTTAAATCGAGCTAAACATAAACATAATTATTCACGAGTCATTTCGAGCGAGCTAATTTCAAACACAAAAAGTTTCAAACGAGGCGAATACGAACATGATACGGGCTCGCTCATGTTCTGTTTACACCCTTACTTGTCAATGAACATTATGCTTTGAATGAAAGTAAGATTTACATTTTGCAAATAAATTATTTTATTTTTCGTTAATTCAGTCTACAAACGACATTAATTCAGGTTTCGTTCTTCGTTCATCGTTTTTCTCATTCATCCCTTCTATTATTGTTTACGACTTTGATACTTCTTTGAAAAATTTTTCCATAATCAAATTCCTCAAAAAGTAAATAAATTTTTCAAAAAATTATATTAAACATTGAGGTTTGAGAACTCATACTTCATAAAAAACTTATAAATGACGGCCAAAGAAATTATTTAATTGATTTTGTAACCCAATATTTTTAATTTTTTTATACTTTTAAAGTTTGATAACACGGAAATATCAAATAAATAATATAATATAAAAAAATGTAACATATTAATATGATATAATCAAGTGCAAAAAAACTTTATAAAATGTAACAAACTTTTTTAAGAAAAATCTGCTTACTTTTTATGATGAATACGAATTCAGGAGGGGAAAATTATTATGTTCGGACTCCGGACGTAGAGATATATCCGGAGTTCAATGAATCACGTCAAAGTAGAGCTGACAGAAAAAAAAACTCATTTTCTTTTGATCCGGCTCAGTAACACAGAGGAATATTCCTCTGTGTTACTGAGCCGGATCAAAAGAAAATGAGTTTTTTTTTCTGTCAGCTCTACTTTGACGTGATTCATTGAACTCCGGATATATCTCTACGTCCGGAGTCCGAACATAATAATTTTCCCCTCCTGAATTCGTATTCATCATAAAAAGTAAGCAGATTTTTCTTAAAAAAGTTTGTTACATTTTATAAAGTTTTTTTGCACTTGATTATATCATATTAATATGTTACATTTTTTATATTATATTATTTATTTGATATTTCCGTGTTATCAAACTTTAAAAGTATAAAAAAATTAAAAATATTGGGTTACAAAATCAATTAAATAATTTCTTTGGCCGTCATTTATAAGTTTTTTATGAAGTATGAGTTCTCAAACCTCAATGTTTAATATAATTTTTTTGAAAAATTTTTTTACTTTTTGAGGAATTTGATTATGAAAAAATTTTTCAAAGAAATATCAAAGTTGTAAACAATAATAGAAGGGATGAATGAGAAAAACGATGAACGAAGAACGAAACCTGAATTAATGTCGTTTGTAGACTGAATTAACGAAAAATAAAATAATTTATTTGCAAAATATTCCTTCATGTCTTGCATTACACGTACAGATTTCAGAGTATGATTCAAATGTTCAAGACAGTGTTCGACAATTATACCTGTAAAGAGACTCATGTCAAAATTAAATTAAGATTAACCCAAGTATGTCACTTTAAGCCAAAATATCTCAAACTTAAGAAAAAGTGACTTAATGGTTTCTTAGATCAAGGAATTAGATGTCGGTTCAGAGTCGATCTGAACCCATGTTCCCAAATAATAAGCCAAATAGATTCAAACTTTCCAAACCATTTAAACACCATGAAGAGACATGTCATTGTCCATTAGGAGTCGAACTTCAAATCATACCTTTAGCTTGGCCAAACGTTGTTCAAACTTGGTTGATTTACATCTCTCAAACCATTTAATTAAAAAGATTAATTTTGTACTCATATAGATCCTCAAGATATTAATAACCATACTAATAATACCCTCAGCCTAATGCCCAACTCTATAGCCAATAATGACTAAACCATTCTCTACCCACCTTGGCCACCTTTAAGAAATTGATTCATGTGCTCCTAGTTATTAGAGAGCAAGAACACTACATTAGGTTCAAAAGAACTTTGAAGAAGCATTTCTTATACATATTTTCCATCACCATAAGTATTCCTTAACCCATGACCACTATTGTTTTGGGTATGATTGATTATGAAGTGATCAAAAGAATAGCTTAATTCAACCATAAGATAGGTTATGTTTAGGATCTATATCATTTTTAATGAATTAAAATCAAAATTTTCCTTATGTTTAGCTCAGATCAACATGATTGCCACTGACGATTCTTAATTCTTGAACAGAGGAACTAGAAACCATATTCATCATGTTTGTTTTAATTAAATGGATGTTTGAGATTTGGTTGGATGGGGAGCCCACAACCTTACCATAAAGACCCTAGATCCGACAATTTGATTTTTTTCAAAAAGGGTTCAATCACATGTAAAAATACTTTTTGACTATGTGAGTAAATAATTCTATTAAAAAAAATTCAATAAAAATTTATCCTATCTTTTAAAATTCATGTCTAATTAGCGACATAACTAAATATTAAATATAAAAACTCAATAGGTTAAGAAAATTTTATATCATTTAAAAATACTTCTAAGGCTTTCTTCTTAATGCATAACTCTTAATCAAATAATAGTTTTAAAAAAAGATTAAAAGATTAATTGGTACTTTAATTTCTCTTAAATTTAATATCTATAAACTTTCTTAGGAACATTTCAAGGGGTTAATATGAGATTTTAATTTTTTTAAGATTATTGATTGTTTACTCGATTCAAATTACTTAAATCAAGATATTCATTTAAAAAAATTAATCCCCTCAGTTCGAGGCACCTCTTATAAGATCGAAGATGACTTTGGAATAAGATATTGATTGTTCTTGGATAACTTGAAATTATCCAAGCTCTGAACTATTTCTTAATTAATAAATTATCAATCAACCCTTGAACTCCATAAATCCATAATACATTCAAATAAACCCAAAAAAACATCAAAAAATATTACATATAACCTTAAGGATAAAGAAAATTTAATAAAATTAATACAGGTTATTCTAAATGATTAAAAAAATTTATTGATTCATTATCTTGTTATCAAACTTCCAGTCTACTTAGTCATCAAAGCAGTCACTCAATATAGTCAATAATCCCTTCTCAATAATCTATGAATTGCATTATCCAAGAATATCCCATAGACTCAAAGCTTAAAAAGGGAACTAATTAGAAGTCCTATGACTTTATCTGATAGAGATGATGAGAATAAGATTTATTGTTCTCAAAATATTGCATGAAGCATATGGAAAAAAAGGGTAAATGATAACTCGATCTTAATTGTCAAATTATCTGACATAGATTTGTAATTGCATGTAGGCCATGGCAACTATTTAACATCTTATTGCACTATAAACAACTCCTAAGTGAATATAAATCATAGAACTAATCTAGTGGGAAGGAAGCAAGCATGTTTCACTGGGCATGATATGATGTGATATTATCTAGTCTAATGTGGAGGCTCTATAAATATGCTTAAGCTTAAATTATGTTATGAATGTGAATAAAGATTGATTTAATATTAGCCATTGAGTTTATTTTTATGGCATACATAACTATTTATCTTGTTTTCTATGAGACTTGTTTATATTTATTTTTATCTCTTTAGTTTATAGGATTCATTCTTCCTTTATATATCCCTTTATGAGACACTTCTAATGATTGGTTTATGACTTAAGTAAAACTAAATTCAATCAATAAATAATAAACTAAAGTTTATCTTTAACTCACTTAAATGAAGTTTAGTTGAACATAGTTAGGTGAAAACTCAATAAAGAATAACGAATTGGACCGAATTCTTATATAGGATTCAAGCTAGCTCTAGGTCACCCTTTGGAACCCTTGGACCCTCTAAAACTTACAATTCACTTCAAAGCTTTAAGATTTATCCTACAAGCTTCTCAATCCCTTCTTGCCTCACCCTTGAGGGAAGATGACTCGATCAACTTTGTTTGACAAATTAGCACCCACAGCAACCTTGGGGGACTCATTAATCAAACAAACCCCATTACTCAAGTAGTTAGTTTCTAATAAACTTAATATGCTTATAGTTCATTATGGATCATACATTAGTAGAATTCATACAAGTAAACCTTATAATAACTTGCTTTGGCCTAGTAGATTAATTAGTCTTCTTTGAAATTTGAATGAAATTAACCAAAATAAATAAATCAATCAAACATAACTGAGTTTTTAGAAATAACTTACCCTTGCTTTTCAAAAAATCAAAATTTAAATACTTTGTGCAATTTTGGCAGCTTACTCAAACATGACACATTAAGGGAATGTTGGGACAAACTCGTCTAAAGTCATCTACACTTACTTGAAGTCAATTAAATGAAACCCAAATCTTGTTCATGAACAATCCAATTAGTTTGAGCTTAAATTGAAAATCTTTTGACCCAAAATAGCCTATTTTGGCTCACAAAATTAGACTAAATTTAACCCAAATAGGTTACTTTAAGCCAAAACCTCCAAAACTTAAAGCAAAATTGACAAAATGGTTGCTTAGATCAAGATCAACTCAATCAGGCAAGAATTGAGGCCATTGAACCCCAATTTGGCATAATGAATCACATGTTCTCTTATGAAGCAATTAAGGTGTCCCCGAGCTAAAATATTTAATTCAAATCAATTGCAATTTAATTGAATCAAATGGTTCATAAGGACCCTATAAACGTTTCAAAAAAGGCTCAATCTTGTTTGAATCTAAGTCAAGTTGAACTGATAGTTTGGCTCAAACCATATGTTCAAACCAAACAAATCAAATGTTTAACCTTAGCCAAACCCAACTAAGGCTTTAAAGCACATCTCATTATATTCATAAATGGAACTAAATTCATTACATAGTCGTTAAGTAGCTGG